AACTTGATGATGTTTTGCTAATTGAAGAAATACCAGATGATATAGTTCTAATTGAACAAATTCATTGTAAACATGATGGTAATGATACTCAATCTGATGATGATAATGAACTACTGTGTAAGATTTCTTTACAAGAAGGAAATCATCTTGCTAAGGGTTTGGTGGAATTTTTGTTGCAACAAAATGATGAATTTGGTGTTTTAGCTAAAGAATTGGGGTAGTTAGGCATGTAAGTGAAATTATTAGATGCAAAGAGATGAATGCAAGATATCAGGTGTCAATAATGCAATTTTTCAAATAATAAATAAATTTTTGCTAAGATGATTTTACTATTTTTATATTTTTTTTGCAAAATACTATTTTTAAAATATATTTTTTAACTCAAAATAATGCTCATAATTGTCTCAAAATAATGCATCTTTGTAAATATACCATAATCGAAATTTTCAGGCTAAGTTCATTAATAAAAGCTAGACTTTCTTTTGTAACCCAAATTTGTCAAAATACTTATAGCCCAGATCTTAGAATCATAACTATAATATCTGAACACTTTAAAAAACCTTTTACTATTCCAAGAAGTCTCAAAAGTTAAAGACTCCGGCTAGATGAAAGTGTATAAATTAGATTTATAAATACATTTATTAATTTAGAATAAAAAAAAAAAATTTGACTATTAACTCTGATTTTAGATTCTATGTAATGAAATATGAAAAATTAATTTTGAGCAACCTTCTAGTAATAGTTCTGTATTTATTTTATCAACAATTACTTCATAGACACCACATTTCACTAACAATACTGTAATTGTTAGTAAAATGTGGTGTCTACAAAGTGATTGTTAATGAGTTAATCAAATCTCTGGTTTGAATAGATGAAGAGAGTAATTTTAGAAAAAGTTTATAGAGCTTGCTTAATTCGTATTAAAGAAATATTCTTATAAGTTATATCTTTAAATAGTTGGTTTTTATAAAATATAATTGGTCAGATTTACTATACCAGATATCAATAATATTTTATTAGTAAATCTATTATAATATAATAGTGAATATTCATTATAATGGATGAAATTTCCTAGCCCAACCAATCTGTTATAGCGAGAGTGAACTATACACCTAAAAATATTTCAGATTCAAAATGAACATAATAATTGTATGATATGTTTGTTTAAAATTAGTTTAACTTTTTAATATTCAATTATAATTTTAATATATTACTACTTCTTTCATGCCAAATGTATTAATTGCTAGGCTTCTAAATCAGAATATATTTGTCCTATTTGTCAAAATAAAGATTTAGAAAATACTTCAGAATCAAAAAACTTTTCTACAAGTACTAATCAGCAAGTAAATCCAATTGAATTTACTAACTATGAATATATCTATAAAATATACTCTAATTGAACCTACCACTATAAATATATTTATATTTATAGAATATACTCCAATTGAACATACTACAGTAAATATATTTGTATTATCTATAGAATATACTTCAATTAAATCTACTATTATGAATACATCTATATCTTTTATACTAATTGCCAATTCTCATAATCTTATTATATTTACAAGTGATTTGGCTATATTTACTATTGCTAGTACTAACTCTAGCAATTTTGTATTTACAATTACAAGCTCTAGTAGCCTAGATATACCTATTGCTATTAATACCTCTAATAATTTCACTATACAGTTTACTCTCACTATAACAGATTGGTTGGGCTGAAAAATTTCATCTGTTATAATGAATATCTGCTATTACATTATAATAGATTTACTAATAAAATATTATTAATATCTGGTATAGTGAATCTGACCAATTATATTTTATAAAAACCAACTATTTAAAGATATAACTTATAAGAATATTTCTTTTAATATGAATTAAGCAAGCTCTATAAACTTTTTCTAAAATTACTCTCTTCACCTATCTAAACCAGGGATCTGATTAACTTACTAACAATTACTTTGTAGTATTGTTAGTGAAATATGGTGTCTATGAAGTGATTGTTGATAAAATAAATTCAGATCTTTTACTAGAAGGTTGCTCAAAATTAATTTTTCATATTTTATTACATGGAATCTAAAATCAGAGTTAATAGTCGAATTTCTTTTTTTTATTCTAAATTAATAAATTTATATTTACATCTAATTTATACACTTTCATCTAGCCAGAGTCTTTGACTTTTGAGGCTTCTTGGAATACTAAAAGGTTTTTAAAGTGTTCAGATATTATAGTTATGATTTTAAGATCTGGGCTATAAGTATTTTGACAAATTTGGGTTACAAAAGAAAGCCCTGCTTTTATTAATGAACTTAGTCTAAAAATTTTGATTATAGTATATTTACAAAGATACGTTATTTTGAGATAATTATAAGCATTATTTTAAGTCAAAAAACATATTTTAAAAATAGTATTTTGCAAAAATATAAAAATAGTAAAATCATCTTAGCAAAAATTTATTTATTATTTAAAAAATTGCATTATTGATATCTGATGTCTTGCATTTATTTCTTTGCATCTAATAATTTCACTTATATGTCTAACTATCCCCAATTCTATAGCTGAAACACCAAATTCATCATTTTGTTGTAACAAAAATTCTACCAAACTCTTAGCAAGATGATTTCCTTCTTGTAAAGAAATCTTACACAGTAGTTCATCATCATTATCAGATTGAGTATCATTACCATCATGTTTATAATGAATTTGTTCAATTAGAACCATATCATCTAGTATTTTTTCAATTGGCAAAACATTATCTAGATGTAAAAACTCACTAGTGCTAAGTGGATTATTAATTGGAAGTTCTGCAATCAAATCATCTAACTCATAAAATTGTTTATTCTCGATACTCTGAAATTTTATAGATGAAATATTATTGTCATCATTAATATCATTAATAGGAAGAATGCTAGCCTTCTTCTAACAGTTTACAATAGTATTAGATATTACATTTTGCTATACATCAGCTGCAAAATAAATTGTATCACAGATTGTAAAAGCTGGTGGGCTTTCATTTGGCTTATCATAAACAGAATTATATGTCTCAATCCTATTATTGATAAAGCTTTTTTTATAAAAACATTTAAATAAATGAATTATCACTTGGTCACAAGGTTGAATATGCATAGTGGCATTTGTAGTAAAAATTCAATACGAATATGATTAAGTTTAACATTTTCCTCAAGATAGTATACTGGTACACTATCAACAAGAAGAAGAATATTCTTGTTATATTTACTAAGACTTGTATCCCAATCTTTTAATATTCTTGTCCAGATTGAAATCTATATAAAAAAAATTAATTTGAATTTAAAAATCAACTCAGTATATACAATTATAAATTAAAATACTGTTTTCTAATTATGCCCGGTAGTACTTTTATCTTAACTAGTAGAATCTTACTAAGTACAATTAGAAAATTTCTAATTGTACTTAGTGGAATAATATTAGTTAAGATTAGGGTTCCGCAATTCGATTTGATTTGATTTGATTTGATCAAATATTTGATCTCAAATCAAATTCAAATACAGAA